GGCCTGTCACACTTCCCAAGCTTTACATGTAGTTTATTTACTGTTTCCACTTAAAAAAGATCCCCCATTAAAATATTGACAACTATTAAAAACAAGCAGACTCACACAGCTAATTATAAATTCAGCCGAAATGAAAGCTCATTCGGATTAAGCTGACCTTGTGAATCATAATGAAACGTCACTTAGTTGCAAAACGGTCCCATTCATACAGCACTTTCGTTTTTCCTAAGCCCCGACCTCTCACCCAGGAAGTACAGCCTCTCGGGCAACATGTATGTAAACATCGGAGCCTGTGACACACGTTTCATTAGCACTTTCTCGAGGCATCAGTACAGCAGCTCTGAGCCCGCAGGACCAGGGGCGCTGGCGGCCGTGGGGAGCGGTCAGCCTCTAAACCGAGAGTCCGGACACTGAGGAATCTGCCCACAGCGAGCACCAGTTTCAGATCAAGCCCCGGGGGCGTGTACTCAGAAGGCAGGGAAGGCAGCGGGTGTAGGTACAACCACGTCGGGAACACATGGAAAGGGCTCACGCTGTGGGACGCAGGTTTAAAACACGCCCACGCACAGCAGCGCGGCCCGGACAGCTGCGTGTCCGCTCTCATCGGAAGGCACAGTGATTCTACGGGTGCACAACAGCCAGGGTGACTCATTAAAAAAATGTGGCGTTTTTCACCAAGAGCAAACATAAAAAATACCACACAACTTGCCCAATGCAACACGGGCTTCAGAAATCATTTCACAATCAAGATGGAGGGGAACGTCAGGGTTCTTGTTCATAAATAGGCATATTTGCCGGGAGCTGCTTAATATTAAAAATGCCAAGAAATGTCACCGGAAGCATCTGGAAAAGGTTCTGACCCCGTAAAGGACAGAATCTCCTTCCAGGAAATGAGACTCTGCACAGAGGCTAAGCCCCGGGGACCGAGAGTCGGGGGATCGGGAATGAGGCCCAGCAGGGTCGCGTCTCCTAGTATCACCAGGATGCATTTTACAAAAACTGTAAAACTCGGAGGAGGAAGTGTTTTCCTAAAACAAAATAAAACACAGACACACAGACACAGCCTCCAGAAAGAAAAACAAGTGCGTCCGCGCAGTTGGAAGGCTCCCGTGACCCACCGTCTCCTCCTGCCTCTTTCTGACCTGTGTGGAGGGAGCTGCGCGCCTTCCCCGACTTCCCTCAGGAGCAGGAGCAGGAGCAGGAGCAGGAGCTGGCTGACCTGAGACACAGCCACTCGAAGCAGAGCCAGCTCGGCCGCAGGGAGCACGGGTCCCGCGGGGCTGCGCCCGCCCAACACCAAACCCCCACGACCTTTCTCACTGTGCAGCCCCCTCCCCACTGACCCCTGTTTAGGGGCAAACAAGAGGCAGTGCCCCAGACCTCTGGCAGGGCTGGGCCTTTTTGGTGTAAATTAGCTGGAAAGAAAGCGTTAACTGGTAGTTTTGGTTTAAACGCATTTAAACACAGACGCATATAAAACCAATATTACTTTCTACAAAACTTTTTACAATCACTGATGTATGATTTACAATCATACAATGATTTACAATCATTGATTATGACTGTACAATTTACAATCATAAAAACAAAGACATTAAAAAGGAAGTACCACTGATTGAGTCAGAAGCTTTCACATGCGAAAGCGAACTTCAAGGGCCCAGGAATGAGCTGGCTGCCAGCGGGTCGCTTCTGCAGATGAGACTCGGGTTCCGTGGCAGGTGGAGCCCGAGGGAGCCTCTGTGCGGATGAAGGTCCAGATGCCCTCGGAACTCGGCACCCCGGGCCCCGGCGGGTAGCGCGTGCCATCGGCAAACAGGAAGGCCGGGTGCTGTGAGCTCACGGGCGTCTGGTGCTGGTCATGGGGCAGCGTCACCTGTGCTGACTGGACAGTTTAGGGACCACGAGGCGGCGCAGGGCCCTGGGCGGGACTTCCCTCGTCTCCTGACGGGAATGACGGACGTAGCACCAGAGCAAAGGCCACGAGACTGAGGTCTGGTTGGGCTCTGCAGTCTATGCTCACTATCCCTCACTCTGCTGCACACACAGCTTTTCGAAGCCCTCCAGTCCTCCGGACACAGCTGAGCCAGAAAAAGAGCCGACTGCGTTTTCATACGCCAGGAACAGGGAGAAGGAAAAGATTCTATATACCAAGTCTGCTTCGGAGAAGCGATTCCATCGAGAGGCCGAGGAGGAGAAACCTTAGCGTTCAAGGACAACGTCGCGGTCATTTACAGTCAGGGGCTCCGAGATGTCCCGGGAGGCTGTGCTCGGCACCTCACAGCCACTCAGCTGCCGTCCGGGGTCCTGGCCATAGGCTCCTCCCGCGTCACCGCCCGCGGCTCTGTCCCTGCAGGAGGCACAGCCCTCCAAGGAGGAACAAGGCAGGCGGGTTATTTGACGGGGCGCCGGCTGGCGTCTCAGGAGTGAAATGCGGGCCAGGCACCGCGTCCAGTTCCCACACCCACTCACGTCCAGGACGTCCACACGCTCACTCCTTCTTATTAGAAGGTAAACGACAGCAGCTTTAAACGCTTCTGTTCACCTGCTTGGGGCTCATTCCTCACAGGCCCGTCAACGCAAGCACCAGGAAGACGGGATTAAAGAAAACAGGGCCCTGACCAGCCGCCCTGCGTCTTGGGGAGATGGCATACGGCCCTCCGACAGGCAGGCTCGCACCCTCTCCTTAGAAAGGGGGGACTCCAGGACTTGCTCAGCCCATAAGCCTCAGTGCACACTTTCTGGGCACCTCCCTTCACGCTCTTGTTCTAAGTTCTGACCTCACACATCACCTCCCACAGCCGTCACACCATCACTAAGAGCCAGCCCCTCGGCCACCGGCAAACGGGGCGTCCTGCCCGGGTGGCTCAGGTCCGACCTCGTGTGGGGACGCATCAGAGCAAAGACCACCTGGGTCCCCGGGGGCTCCCGCTACGCACGGACACCCCTCTGCTGTGGATCTCACTTCTTGAGTCTGAACTCCCTTCAAAGATGCACTCGCGTCTGAATGCGAAGGGCTCTGCCCCTCGCCTCGTAACCGGCCGACCGGTGGGAGGACGCCGCCTGCATCAGGAACACCTCACTCCCAGCCCACAGCGGGGCCACGTCTACCAGCTGTCCATCGGCCGTGGCCTCACTGCTGTCCTGACGCCGGGACGGGAACACCACACAGAAGTCGCCGTGAGGGTCCTGCCACCCACACTCCGTGCCCAGCACCCTCCCCCCGCCCCGGACCGGCCCGGATGCTGTGCTCACGTGCGTGTCCACTCCCGGAGGGAGGCTCCGGCTCTGCGCCCAGGCCCGCGCCCCAGCCAGCTCCGCCCGCTGCCCCGCAGAGAACTGTGGCTGCCGCCGCCTCATGCTTTCCAGCTTCGCCAGGTCTTCCCTCAGGACCACGTCTTTCACCCTGAGAACAGACGACAGCCACCTCACTGGCCCCGGGGGCCCAGGTGCTTGTCACGCCCCTAGAGAACGGGCTCTTCCTGTGGTGCGATGCGCTTTCCATCGCCTGTGAGCGACGATGCACACGCTAAACATACGATGCACACGCCAAACATACGATGCACACGCTAAACATACGATGCACACGCTAAACATACGATGCACATGCTAAACATACGATGCACACGCTAAACACACGGCATCGCTCCTCTGTCCCGGGGTGCAGCCAGACCTCCTCTTCTCGGGGGACGTCTGTGCAGAGTCTGAGGAGGCGCCAGAGAGAGACGCCCTCAGCCCCCCACTGTGAGTGCACAGACAGCCCCTCTGAAGAGAACAGCCCTGCGCACGCCGCCTGGAGCACTGCCTCCCCCCGCCCTCCTGCCTTCCCCCCC